CATATTAGATTTATTTATTTGATTTGTAGCGCACAATGATGAAGTATTATTTAATTGATGACGACATTTAAAGCATAAATTTACTGCTCGTAATCTTATCAATATAATCACTTTAATTATAATTTGACTATTTGAGATAGCCATAGTTTAGCAGACTAGTATTTATACTGGGTGATGATTGAAGGCGAGGTGAAAACCTGGAACGCGGCCGGATTCGAACCAGCCACCACAGGGTTACCGGCCTGGCACTCTACTAACTGAACTACGAGGTCCGACTGCTAACCAGACTTTTATTTCACCTCGATCACCAAGGGTTTTGCCCGACTATCGTACGAACCTCGTACCTTAGTTGGTAGAGTACCGGGCAGGTAACCTGGTGGTCGCTGGTTCGAACCCGACCGCGGTCCAGATTTTCATCTCGCCTTCAATCATCACCCAGTGTAATCACTTTACTTTTGACATCTAATCTTTATAGTCCTGTCACCTTCTATTCTTCCTTCTCATTAGTAGTAAAGTTTTTAATATCTCTGGCATAGGTGTTGCTCCATTCCTAGTCAGTGAACAAAGATTCAGTGATCAGCCTCTCTCTCCAACTTATTATATTAGACCTAGGTGCTGTAGTTTTATCTCACCTTGTTGTATGATTGTGTGTTAATACATGCATTACAATAGCCGAGTTCCCCTCTAGATTATTGATCTTATTCGGGTCTGTCGTTCTATATTTAGCTAAATTCTTGTGTTACACTATTCTAACTCGCCCTGACCAGCTAGTTTGACCCATGTACTTGACCCCACAATCGTTACATGGGATTTGACAGATTATATTATTTTTCTTGATTGGATCCATCGGATGCTTAGGCCAGCCGACAAAATTTATCTCTGAGTGAGTTTGTAGATTTAAATGCCACTATAATTCCAGCCTTGTTGAGAATTCTACGTAAAGTTTCTAATTTTCCTTCCTTATATGATAACACAATGGAGGCTGTGAACTCCTTTCCACTCGCGTTGTCGTTATTGTTCATTGGTTATGACATGTGTTACATGTATCAAGCCATTGCCTCTCCTGATATGCAATGCTATTGGATGATTGTTTGTTACGTATGCATGGATATAACTGAATTCTCCTCTAGATTACTCACCTTAGGAGGGTTTATCAGTCTAGACTTGCACAGGTTTTTGTATTTTTCTGAGCTGACTGAACCCAGTTGGCTGGTTTGGCATCTGGACTTGATCTTGCAGTCATGGCTTGGTACTCGGTAACTTAAATTACTTTGACTTGCTGAGTCAGTTGAGTCCCTAAGCGGACAAACTTTGTCTGTCAATGAGTTTGTATGTCTGAATACCACTCCGATCCCAGCCTTGTTGAAAAACTTACGCAGGGTTTCGAATGTCCCTTCTTTATACGGTAGCACTTCAGAGATCTTAAACTCCTTCTAAGTCGTGTTGCAAACATTGCTCACATCACTAGTTTTTATTTTTTTACGCATTTTTATGAAGTTCTGAATAGATTTATGAGGATAATTATTAAGGAATAAAGCTTATTTTGAGTTTAATTTAGTTCTTGAAATTTTTGACTTACCGGACAGACTCTTGGCTTGGTTACTCAAATAGTTAACCAAACTTACTTTTATCGATGATAAGATTACCTAAAGTTTAGGTGTCTATTAGAATGCACTGGTTTTCTACAGACTTGATATATCCAATTCTTCTTGCACATCTTCGAACTTGGAAGTAAGTCGTATTTCATCTACTACCGAGTTCGTGTGTCTGAAGAAGGTTATCATATATCTGGGATTCAACATACTAAATATGTCATCCATATTTTGCCATCATACGTCAAGGGGAGTATTCAGCATTCTAAGAGCCATACGTTCCCAACTGTGCATTTAAATATCACCTACAACTGAGGATATTAATGATCTTACTTGTTACTCCATCCATTTGTTTACATATTTTATCTTGAAATCTGAAAACTGTAGAAGTGAGACATAACTGAAATTTGAATAAGATTTCTTCAGTCGCTGTTCTAGACTTATGAGAGACAGTAGAGTCATTCTAAAGTTCATGTCTGACAGATTTTATAGCCATATTGAGTGATACAGTAGTAATTTTCTGATTCCCCTTTACCTGAATATTATCTCATTTTCGCATCATTTCACCTGAATTGGTTAGTCTACACTCTGAGCGAATTTATGTTTACGTATTATAATAATGATACACATTCAGGCGTCATTATTATTTCAAACTCACTGAAAAAAACTGTCTCCATAAAACCAATAATGCTCCTATGGAAATAATAGGATATGGGCAGAATTGGTGATCGAATAAGCATGGAGTACTGGAATTATTATTACTTAAGCACAACCATCCGTAAAAAGATGCAACATTTTAGACTTGATGTTGGAAATCCTCTTCTTACGCCGGTACTGACTTGCGAGTGAGTAAGAAAATTATTCTCAAAAATAATTTGTAGGCGCACATGTTGATAATATGTTCTTCCTGATTGTAGTAGACTCGACTGGATGGGATCACGCAATAAACTGTGGGCAGCGACAAGATGCGCATATGCTGGTTGGACCGATGAAAACACACCAGAAGAAGATTTGGATTTCACCAACGATGATGATGATGATGATGATGATCTATGTCTAATGTCGCAGAAAATCAAAGATCTGCAGGCGAAAATTGACAAGTTGACAGAAGAGGCAGGTCAGCAAAGGAAGACGCAACTTCCTTCAGGTGAACGTAGAGAAGACATAGGTGATGCAGATATTCAACCAACAACGACGACGACAACAACAACAGAAACAACAACAACAACAACAACAACGAGAATAACAAACGCCAATCACCATCAACGGGAGAAGTCCAAATCAAGTTGTCTCTCTCATCTACCACCTACCCAACTACCTACCTACCTAATTAGGTAGCATCATCTCAACTACATGTGGTGGCACACATAAGGATGTCAAAGACAGGATCGGAAAGACAGCAACACACGTCTTCATTCATCAATCTAAAATCAGTGTGTAGATCTACACTGCACTGCACTGCACTCACCATAAAGCGTGAACAAGATCTGGTTTTTCAACACTAATATCAGTCTAGTCAGTACTCCATGTGATGTTTGAGAGACTTGGTGGCGCGTTACGAAAAGCATTTCCAACAAACTGCAGACATATATCATCAACAGTTGTCGTCTACGCCAGCCCACTCGATACTGAAGATCAAATCAGACCGGATGGCGAGAATAATAAGAACAAGCAACAAGGAACTCACTCTGACCTGCCAACGAACCACTCGACCAATAACCCATCACCCAAGGAAATGCCTAAGAAGAAAGTGGAGATGGATTGGATTGGATAGGATTGTACATAGATTGAGAAGATGGTTTGAGGACATCACGCGTCAAGCTAGAGCAGACCGTCGAGTGCAAGGCAAATGGGAAACGATGAGTTGGGCGTCTGAGCTAAGGGTGACATGGAGGAGATCATGTGAGGAGGGAATGGAAGCTTTTGCGCAGTCGTGGAGCCAGGGCGAAAAGACTGCATATGAGAGAGTGGAATGGCGACGTGTTACTGAAGCCGTGTGTTCCACCAGGAACCCAAGGGACAAATAATAGTAAAAATAGTATGTTGATAATATGAGGTACGTATCACGTAGCACAAACGTTGTGCTTCGCTTTGGTGTCAGTCACGGTTAAACGTCAAATTATTTTGTTGTCTGTGTGAATAGTCAGTTTTAATCATAACCTTCTAAACATTGGAAAAATACAGTTTTTGGTCTTTTGAGGAGTTTATTTTTAAGATAGCATCCATCATAAACTGACTTCAGTTAGGGAACCACTAAGAACTTGGGAGCAGTGGATAGCTATTTCGTCCTAGTGTGGGACTTCTCAGCAGTACGTAGCGACAACTTCGCCAGCATGGGTCGAACTCAGGACCTTCAGTCTTTACGGCGACCTCATAAACCATTCGGACACTGGGTCAAAATTCAGTGGTCCAAAGTTTCCCACTTCTCATAATTCATGATATAGCTCAACTATCTATCAAGGTCTTTAGTTGACATCCATTTCACTTGAAACTAGTTGACCCTACATTTGATGGCTTTTAATTAGAACTTCGTGAAGTATGTCACAAATGAGCATTATACATCAGTGTAGTTTGCGGTTTATGGGGACATTATTTTTAAGGTAGAGTTTATCATAGAGTGACCATTGAAAACCTTATGATAAGCCATGACCAGTGGGGTCAACCAGTCTGAAGTGAAGCGGATGTCAAATGAAGTCTTCGGTGGATAGTCACATTATATTACGAACTGACAGAAGTAGGGAACTAAGAACCACTAAACTCCGACTCAGTGGTGTGATGGTTAATGCGTTTCCCGTGAAGTTTGGATGTCCTGAGCTGTATCTGTAGTGGTTGAGGTCCTGGGTAGGCACTACTGAGGAGCCCCATACTAGGACAAAATACCTGTCCACTGCTAGCATGTTTTCAGTGATTCCCTATTTTATGTCAGTTCGTAATGAATGCAACGTTAAAAATAAGTACATACATTAAAGGACTACTGATGACTAACCAGTGTTATGTTTTGCAGTCCCCAGTGCCTATCAGATATGTAATAGTGGCATTAAACTGGCAGACTTGTCATGTACTCTGACTGATGTAAGACTCGTAATTTTACCTCTGACTTCAGGAATGAGCGCGTAAAATTCATATCTACGTGAGGTGTTAGATCCTTTAAGATTAGTGATATACCTTACTGATGATAACGCAAAAACTATATCAAGCATGAATTTTTATCGATTGCCTTCAAGCATATAGCACTGTTGGTGTGTATTCCAAGCCTTTCTCTTACACACGTGTATGCTTCAACCTGAGTTACAGTTATCTAGTACCAGTTTTCATGATAAAGTTTGTTTCGAACTTAACAAAGATTATATTTTCTCTGAAACTTTCCAACCTTCCCTTGTTTGTGTTTTTTGTTGGTTATTATGACAGTTGAACCAGTTCGACTGAAACTTACTGGATGTTTGGATTTTCGACAAGTTGGTTGGATTCAGTATGGATTTTTACCGGTTTGTTTGTTGTATAGTCTATGGATTATTCGATTATATTCAAGCTTTTGTCAAATATCTACAACAATCGTTGTATCTGATTGGTAAGTTTTTTCTCATATCTATAAAATATACCTGTTTTTAAAAAGTGTACAGTTTTATTCGGTAGAAAATTCTAAACATGAAGTTCTGTGAATAAGGTTGATGCTTGTTTTACATCGGTGAGCTTCATAGAACTTTCAACTTGAAGAATACCATCGTAAATATATCAGTAAATGGATAGAATCTTCTAGACAAGTCTTCGGCCAAAGGTCAAAGTTAATCGATAGATGGATGTAGGGAATGGACTGATATTACGTAACACAAGACATGATCTCAGTAGCTATCATAGAATACAGTGAACAGTAAGATTTGGTATCTGATTAAAATCACGGGAAAGAGACTGTTTGCACATGTTTCTTTTGAATGCACGACTGAGGTTTGAAGCTGTGAATTGCCAAAGCTTCAGCTGTATATAAGTGTCCGATTCTTCCCAAATTAGACGGTTTGACTGGACATTGTAGAGAGCTTCGAACGAGGTTTCCAGAGGAGTCACATGTTTAGACTGTACGAGTGTTCAACAGAGGAGCTGGAGATGGTTTTGTACTCTGGCCTCAGTGTGTGAACCATAAAAATAACCTTCCGTTTTTTATTGTTATTGAGTATTACAGAATACTTGGAATTCACCAGATAGACACACTACACCTAAAATCAGATCGACTTCATCCCAATCTGAAGAAAGTGGAGACGCAGACTACTTGACACAAGGTCAAGAAAAAGGAGCAGGTGTCGGTGGTTCACAACACACACACCAGTCACACCACTATCTAGTGGAAGGAACCCACCCACCTTCAAAATCAAGTTGAAAGCCTTCACAGAAGTTGGAGATAGACCACAGTTCAAGTTCACCACCCAGAATAGAAACTGAAGTGAAGGACGAAACTACGAAGAAAATCTTCACGTCAGCCAGCCATCAAGACAAAATGGGAGATATCTAGCAACATGCCTGAAGAAACCTGTGTGGAAGAACACTGTAACTGTTTGAAAGCTATGTGGAAATAAACCTGCATAACCATATTAGGAAGGAAGAAGAAAGAAGATGAGGAATGTGTGTTGATGGACATATGGGAGGTGATAGAGCAGGGAGAGTAGGATGGTGAAGCGGAATGCGAACCGGTGCAAGGATGCACAAAGAAAGGAAGAACTGAGTACAAGGTATAAAACACTACACTGGACAAAGAAGTGAAGAAGAGTGCACGCAAAGACGAAAGAGACTTCCATGACACACTGGTAAGTGAAGAAGAACAGGATGCAGGTAGTTGAGACAGAGACCCGACCACATTATTTATATCAAATAACCAGGTTACTATCTGGGTGGGAAGAGATCAAGTTGGATGAAACCAAAAAGGATGATGAAGGAAATCTAATTACGGAAGAGGAGAAACAAGGGAAACAATGTTGTGACCACTTCGAAAAACTCTTGAATCGACCACCACCACCACCACCTGCACTTCGTCCAGAAATACCACCTGCAGACCAGTCCAGCCCAACCCAGCCACAGAACTACAAGTGAACACAAATCCTCCAACAAAAGTCGAAATCCTGAACGCTATACAACTGCTGAAATGCGGGAAGTCAGCAGCGCCAGATGGAATCCCACCATAAGCACTGAGAGCAGATGCAGAGACAACAGCAGCGGACTCGCTCACACCATTATTCCAGAAAATCAGGAAGGAATGGAAGGAAAAGTACCTGCCCAACGATTGGAAGAAGGGCTGTCTTGTCAGACTGCCGAAGAAGGGTGACATAAGAACTGGTGAAGGAACTGGTGTGGAATCATGCTTCACTCCTACCTACTCCAAGCAAAATATTATGCCTCATCATCCTGGAGAGAATGAACAATGCTCTGGATTCAAAACTACGACCGGAACAGGCTGACTGACTGACTGACTGGCTGGCTGGCTGGCTGGATTCAGGAAGAACAAATCATGTGTGGATCAAATTGCAACGCCACGCCACACAGCATCATCATCATAGAATAGAACATAGAATGGCAGCCAACACCACTCTACCTCACATCAACTTCATCGACTTTGAAAAGGCCTTCGATAGCGTCGACTGAGAACTAATTTGACAGGCAGCTGCTTCAACAACACAGAGTGTCACAAATCTTTATCAACCTCATTCAACAACTTTATGAAGACGCCACATGTCAAGTGATTCACAATGGGAAGTTCAGTGACGCCTCCGAAGTGAAGTGAAGTGAAGACAGGAGTAAGACAAGATTGCCACCTACGATCACCGATGATCTGCGTGATTGTGGTCGACTGAAGTGGATCATGCAGCAGACCGTGAGTGGTGAGAAGATGAGCATACGCTGGTTGGACCGATGAAATACCACAGAAGAAGTGTGTTTAATGTCACGTAGGCTCGAAGATTCGCAGGCGAAAACTAACAAGTTGACAGAAGAAGCAGCGACAACGGGACTTCAAGTGAATATAAAGAGGACGGAGGTGGTGGAGATACCCAACCAATGACAGCATCAAGAACAAGAGGCACCAATCACCATGAATGGGAGAAACCTAAAGGAAATAGTCTCTTTCACCTTCCCAGGCAAGGCAGCATCTTTTCAACTACAGACGGCACAGGCATAGATGAGGAAAGTCAAATCATGGATCGGAAAAGCAAGACAGGCCTTCCTTCACTAATTTGAAGTCAGTGTAGAGATCCACTCCACTCCACTGCACTCAGGATAAAGCGTGTGCAAGATATAGATTTTCAACACCAATGTCAGTCAAGTCAGTGCTGTTATATGGTTCAGAAAGTTGGCGTGTCACGGAAAGCATTTCCAACAAACTACAGACATTCATCAACAGCTGCTGCCCACGCTCACTCGTTACTGAAGCTCAGATGGCTAGAATAATAAGAATACGCAACAAAGAACTCTGGGAACGAACCAACGAGTCAAGAACCTATCACCCAACAAATGTGCAGAAGAAGAGAGTGAAATTGAGACGTGCTACTAAAGTCGTATGTCTCACTAGGAACCCAAGGGAAAATTATAATAATAATTACGAAATACTTACTTCACTTACCTTATAAATGTACATTTATGCAAAAGCATCCCTTCATCAATAAAAGACAATACAGCAAAGAAAATTTTTTTTCGATGAACCATTTTCAAAAGCTGTACGTCTTAATTATAGTTACAATGAAATATATATCCATCAATAGCTAATGGATTGATACAACTATCAAAAACGGTTAATAAAGCCACAAGTTGATAACGGCAAGAATATCAAATCAAGGTCATCAAAAATTACTGTTTTAAAGAGATTACAACCATGACAAAATTAGAGATTGAATATTTCTTTCTTGAACGCAAAGATCAAGCTTGTAGTGCCAGATTTGCACAGCTTTTGCTGTGTTGAGGTAGCGAATACCCACTGCCTTCGAAATATTTACCTTCACTTTATAAGTGAATTTGAAAGAAGACTTCCATGGAGTACACTGACCAGAGATGATCAAATGTTTAAGAATCGAGCTGTTGATAGCTTTATACTGTGGTGGATAGTGTTCAGAGATGTGTTTGGATAGAATACGCTTTGTGTGGCCTATGTAACCAGCTGCACAAGAGTAGGTGGATTGGTAAACATACATATAGGTGACTCAAAGCGGTAGTTTATCTTTTATACACCCTTGAATCAGCTGTTAATGGGAGAAAACAATCCAAAGCTGAGTGGGAAAGAAGGTCATCTTCAGTGCTTTGCACAGTGGATTCTTCAGTGTTTTTACCAATTTATCTCTCTTGAATCCAATATTCATAAACAGTACCCTTTTGGAAACCGTAGGGACTTCTTATTTGAAATTCTTAAGCTTTATGTTCCTCTCAATGAATTTTGAAGGGTAATTATTCTTGATTAACACTCTTCAAAGTACTTCCAGTTCCTTGGTTACTGCATCATCTGAAAAATTCTTCTAATTCGTGTATATAGTGAATGAATAAAATTTCGTTTCCTGACTAGTGGAACCTAGCTTTGAAAATGAGCATATTGAACATTTCAGGTTTGTTTTCTGAAAACCGATTTCCTTAGGGAACGATCATGTCTTTTTTCAATAAGATGTCCAGGAAGTGGGATTCTGAGTTATCTTCAGTTTCCGTGGTAAGTTTAATTGACTTATGACACCAAGTAAATTTTCGTAGTATTCCTTCAAAGCTCCTGTTCTCGTCACAGATGATGAAAGTGTCATCCATCTACCTCTAATATAAATGGGATTGATCGACCAGTAGATGCAATTTATTGTTCTTAAGATTGGCCGTGAAGCAATAAGCTAGGGAGGACTCAGGGGTGTACCCATTACCACCCTATCCGTTTGTGGATAAAGTTGATTATTGAATTTAAATTGTATAAAATAAAGGTACATAGTAGGATCAATTCTTGAAGATAATGTTCAGGAATCCAAATGTTAAACATGTTGATCTCAATATAATCACATAGAAAGCAGATTGTTTCTGTCAAAGGGATATTTGTGAAGAGCGATGTGATGTCCAATAACAACATGCTCTTACCACACACATTGACATCTCTTATGCAGTTAACGAAGTCGAAGCAGTCACAAGTACTGTAATTAATGATATGATTTTTCACTGGTTGGAAGATTTTAGTTAGGCATTTAGCGATCCCATGATACGGTGAATTGTTCAAGTCAACAATTGAACCTTTTGGAAGCTGAGGAATTACTGAAGCAGATTGCTTTAGTCTTTCAAACAACTCTGCACTGATGATCGATTCGTCTTTCATCTCCTTCAAATGTTTGTCAGTTTTTGTTCCATTTGTTCCGTTGCATCTTTCTGAAACTCTTTTTTCGAGTATTTACTTTTATTTGCCAGTGTAGATGAAAGTTTATCAATATAGTCTTTGCAATTCATCGGAACTATGTCCGAACTCTTGTCTGAACCAACCGACAACATTTCCTCGTCTGCCAAATTTTTATTTAGCTGGGCTTAATGTTCTTTGGACAATAGTCTCCAAGTGTTTGGTACTGCGTTCATATAATGAAGGCA